CCCCCCCCGCCGTGAATACTTCTTTTTAAACAGATATGTAGGTCACTGTATCTCAAACTTTAGAGAAAAACGTTCAAATACTTTCTTCAAATGAAGTCTTAGGCAGAGTTTACAAGAAATATTATAGTGCTATGCAATAGAGATATTTTATGTTGGCATGGGGAAAAATACAAAGTGGGGCTGAGCTCTCTGAGATTTGCCTCTCTAATTTGGCAGAGGTAGGCGCGGGCACCAGGGGCAGTTAAATATAGGAGTTTGGAACTGAGTTTGCAAACCACTGACCAAAGTGGTCCATAAGGTTCTTCTCAAAAGTGTTATCTTTTGATATCTTATATGAGTTTTGATGTCTGTGAATGTAACTGATTTTAGTTTTTTTACTAAAAGAGATCGTAACGCCCTAGCCAGTTTGTTTCAGTGGTTAGAGCATCGGCCCTTGGACTGAAGGATCCCAGGTTCGATTTCAGTCAAAGGCACGTACCTGGGTTGCAGGTTCAGTCCCTAGCCCCAGTCGGGGTGCATGAGGGAGGCAGTCAGTCGATGTTTCTCTTGCTCTCTCTCTCTCTCTCTCGCTCTTGCTCTCTTTCCCTTCCACTCTATGAAAAAGCAATGGAAAAAATAATCTCCGGTAAGGATTTAAAAAAAAGAAAAAAGAAATCATAACTTCTGACGTGTGTTCCCCAAATTAGTTACATTGTTTGTCTTGTTAACTTTGTTTTTTCAAGGTGAGTTCTTAGAATAGTTGATGTCTTTTTTTGTATGATGTGATATTCTGGTTGATATGGTGGAAATGTTTCCTGCTACCCACAAAAAATAAAGAAGTTCATTATTTTCAGGGTGTTATCCATTGAGTCCCTTCACAGGAGATAGTTGTATCCAGGTAGAAAGAGTACACATTGAAACTGACAAAGGATTTGAGGGTCTGATGCGAGATTTGTCCAAAGCTCTGTCCAAGGTTCTCCCCAGCTCTGAGACCCTGTGACCACCTGAAGAGGAGGAGGGAGAGGAGGGTGGGCGGGCCTTGGAAGTGTGTGCCCAGCACAGTGCTTCAGAGGAACAGCATGAACACTGGAAGAGAAGCCTCGGGAGAGGTACAGATAGTGAGCCTGTTGCTAGTGCTGTTTGGCTGAGCTCCTTACCTAACTTTTTGCCTCAGTTTCTCAACTGTAAAATAGAGGTATCTATTAATTGGAGGTATAGTGTGTTGATTAAGGACACTTTGGGTCAAAACAAACCCGAGCTGGTTTTACCACTTAGTACTCAGTATTGGCCTGGCAGAACTAGCTGCCCTGTGAGTGATAGCTGCTTCATTCCCATGGTCAGTACCTGCATGTTCCTCCTCAAATGGGTGGTTGGAGGAGCAGGTGATAAAAAAGGTTTTGGGTGTTTTGTTTTGTTTTTAATAGTTTTTATTGACTTCAGGGAGAGGAAGAGAGAGATAGAAACATCAGTGATGAGTCATTGATCAGCTGCCTCCTGCACGCCCCCTGCTGGGGATCGAGCCCACAACCCGGGCATGTGCCCTGACCGGGAATCGAACCGTAGTCTCCTGGATCATAGGTCGATGCTCAACCACTGAGCCACGCCAGCTGGGCTAAAAAAGGTTTTTGAAAAGTAAAAATGTTCTACAACTCTGAGATATCTCTGCATTATCATTTCTTGCATATACTAGGTGGTTTCCCAGTTCCTACTGATTTTGGAAGTCCTATAAAATGACTTTTTCAAACACCGGTTTTCTTCCCAGATTAGGATTTAGAAAATATGTCTTCTCATTGACACCACTTTCTTCTTACTTGTACCTTGTGCTGTGTCCCCAGGTACAGCAGGCAGAGCGCAGCGAGGCCCCTGTCTCCGCCGCCATGCCGTTCCCATTTGGGAAGTCTCACAAGTCTCCCGCAGACATCGTGAAGAACCTGAAGGAGAGCATGGCCGTTCTGGAGAAGCAAGACATTTCTGACAAAAAAGCAGAAAAGGTATGTATTGGGCATTATTTTATATTTTCAATCTTTTGATTAGGAGCAAATAAAAGACACTATGAGATGATTTTTTTAAATTAATAAATCCCAATTTGGGGTTTTTTTGGTTTCAAAATACGACATTTGCTGCTGCTTGAACACCATGTTTTCTCCTGTACTGCTGTCTACCAAACGTATTTCTAACTTTTTTCTCTGTTTTTCATTTGGGGTTTCCAAGTCTATTTAAATTTTATTTTTTCATTGTTGAAATGATTTATCTGATTCCTAAAGTCAGTAGGCATTCCACCAGTAGTCTTCCTAGGGAGGTGCCGCTCCTGGTTTTCTTTCTGTTCCCTGGAGGAATACCTTCCTCTTCCCAGTCACCACAGCACAAAGCCTGACTTCCATCCCAGTTTTGTCTCCCTGCTCTCCTCCAAAACATCATCTTTCACTAAATAGCATGAACCCCTACTTCTGAGGGGTTTATGAATTGATTCTGACTTCCATTCCTACTAAATGATGATCCTTGTGACCTTCCTTATTTCTCAGATATCTCCCTTGCCTTAAGCCTTCAGTGCAGACTTCTTGGGTGGCACACAAGACCCTTTGTGACCTTCTTTCTCTTCTCTAGGTGAATTTCGGCCCCTCCCTTATTCTGTGTGTTCTGTCATCTCAACTTGCCTCTGTTCATTGGAGGTAACTAAAGCAAATAATCAGCTATACTGTTTCATGCCCTTGTCTTATCTCCCCCCATCCATTTCTACCTCAGCCCCATTCAGCCTTCAGAACCCCCATACATCTCTCTCTCTCCTTCTCTCTCTGTCTCACTCTCTCTTTTTTTAACTGAGTGCATGGTGATAAAAACTACAGTGACAGCAGTTTGGTGTCACTGCCTTGGCTCTGGCTAAGGGATCACACCATCGGTGCAAATGACAATATAGTAGAAAAGGGCAAATTATGTGTTAGTTTGATATAAAAACAGTTTTGACCCCACGGACCCCTTGAAAGGGTCTTGAGGGACCCCAAGGGGACCCCACGGGCGCTCACTCGCTTCGGGAGAGCACCTGTTCACTGGCACGCTCAGAGGGGAGGGAGGAGTCTTTCCATAGCAGGCCGCTTACCAGTGACTCCTGGTTACTAAACTTGCTTAGAGTAATCTTTGACACCAGGGGGTTATTAATAGTTTTCTTTTAGTCTGTGATCTTTCAGCTGAGAATAGTCAGGCATTTTCTTTACAGAGAGACGTGCATGCGTGCATGTATGTGTAGGGCTTTTTTTTTTTAAGTTAATTCAGGAATTAATGTGATAACAGAATTGTTCTCTCATTATTTCAAATATTTGGCACCAACAGTATTTCTCAGGTTACTTTTAGATTCCATGTCACATTTTTTATCTTAATTTACTTTGACTTAAGAACTTCCGAGGTCATCTAATAGTTTTTTGAGGATGAATTGATATTTAAGGCAGTACATATAGATTAGTATATATATATGCAGAGGGCTCTTGTTTAAAATGATTCTTTTGCTAAAGAGTAGGTATGAAGAAACAAAAAAAGTAAAATATAAGGCAAAATAATAAATTATGTAACCCCTCCCCAAGAAGATGTGGTTCTTTGAGGCATTTCTTAGTAATAGCTGCTTACATGTAAATTATAATAAATTTGATTATGTAAACTAATGGTGAACAGAAACATGGGAAATGTTGCTTAATAGATTATTTAAAAATTGTTTCCAAAAAGTATGACTTTATAAATAGTGATTTCCATCTCAGTTATGGGAATTTTATTATGCTGAGTTTCATGTGTACAGCATAAAGCAAGATAATCTTGCAAAAGATGACAATGGAAGTAATTACATGATCATTTTTTGCAAAAGATTTCCAACTTGATTGAATCCACAGACATTTTAGTGCCCTCATATATTTGGGCAGATAGATGGACACATGGATCAAATTTTTCCCCTGTTTTTAAGGAGTTTATAATCTAGGAGAGGAAATATGTATGTAAATAATATAACATAGTATAGAGGTACCTTGGAGGTAATAATGAAATTCTGTGAGAATCAGAAGGATGAAGCAGTCAGTACTCTTCAGAGATAGAATTAAGTTCGAAGTGACATTTGAACTGGGTTTTAAGGTGTTTGGCAGGCAAAGAATTAGAGGGAACGGAATGTGAAACAGCATAAAGTTTGGCATGTTCAGAAAAACAGTGACAAGTTCAGGGTGACTTTATAGAGGTGACTAGATATAAATGAATGGTGGGAAGTGAGGCTAAAGATGTAGGTTGTGGTAGATTGAAAGGAGCCTTACATACAGCCTAAAGATAAACTTAGAGAGCTGAAGAAATCTGTCATTTTGCTTTGTTTTAAATCTTTATTTTTAGTTAATTATTCACAGGAAGTTGCATAAAAGTACACAGGGAGACCTGTCTGCCTTTTCCCTGTTTCCCTCAATGGTAACATCACACATAACTATATACAATATCAAGACCAGGAAATTGACGTTGGTACAGCCCACAGGCCTTATTCACATTTCACCAATTTTGTAAATGTATGTGTGTGAGTGGGGGGGTTGCTTTGCACAGTTTTACCACATGTATAGCTGTGCAGTTCCTTTAGTAACCACCACCACAATCAAGATTCAAAACTGTTCCATCACCACAAGGCCCCTTTTTGCTATCCCTTTATAGCCACACCTATTTCCTCTCCCCCATACCTACCCTTGCTGGCAACCACTAATCTGTTCTCCAAATCTGTAATTTTATTTCAAGAATGATTTATAAATAGAATCATGTAGTAGGTACCCTTTTGAGATTGGCTTTTTTCACTCAGCTTAATTCCCATGAGATCCATGCAAGCAGTATATCAGTAATTCCTTTTGATTGCTGAGTAGTACTCCATTCTATGGATGCACCACAGTGCATTTAGCCATTTGCCCAATGAAAGTCAGCTAGACTATTTCCAGTTTGGGGCTATTACAGATGAAGCTGCTGTGAACATTTTTATACCAGTTTTATGTGAACTTAAGTTTTCCTTCCTCTGGGATAAATGCCCAAGAATGCTGTTTTGGGTCATATGATAAGTGCACATTTAGTTTCATAAGAAAGCACCAAATTCTTTTCTAGAGTGCTGTGCCATTTTACATTCCCATTAGTAATGTTTCAGAGTTAGAGATGGCATGAGATTGGAAGTGTGTTTGGGAAGATGGATATAATGGCAGAAGATGAACTTGGTAAGAGAACTCTGGTGACCAGGAAAGCTTAAGGGTAAGGAGGAGAAGTAGGGTATGAAAGCAGGTTTCTGAGAGACAGTTGAGATGATTTGATGGTTGTCTACAGTTAATTACAGGTTCACATACCCTTGGCCTATCTTCTCTACCCACCAAATATTTTCCAGAGCATGAGTCAATAAACTGTGGCCCAGGTCAGTCTGTTACCTGGTTTTGTAAGTAAAGTTTTACTGGAAAACAGCCATTCCCATTCATTGACCTGTGGTCTACGGCTGCTTGACTGCTGCAATGGCAGAGTTGAGAAGTTGTGACAGAGACCATATGACAAACAGTTTGCTACCTTCTTATCTAGAGAAGCTTGATACTTCTGATGAGACAGCAGGGATTCTTATTTTGGTTAGAAATGGGGTGGGGGCAGGGAAAGTGTGTGTTTTTCTTTTAAACTTAGTGTTCCACATATGTGCAAAGAGTGCTCTAGGGAAGCAGGTAGGCCGTGGTTCCAGGTGCTTCTCCCTTCATTCACTTTTTTAGTTTTACTTTATTCTAATTTGTATATTGGGATTCTACATAAAATTTTTGCTTTGAAAAGTGGTGGCAGGCAGGAGTAGGGAATAGGCTATCAGTGGCCCCAAAAGCACTAAAAACTACTGATTTAGATGACCTCTGGCATCTCCTTCAACACTTAAGATGCAATCCCATACTCTGGCATTACTTCTAACTTAACATTTCAACTCAAAATTTATTTTCTCTGCCCTAGAATTGGTCTGTCTCTTCCTGACTGGTTTCAGAAATGTTGTCTTTATATCTCTGGCTCAAAACCTAAGAGTCATCAGATTCTTTCTCCCTTACTTCAGTATCTGTTTGCCGGAGCCCTTTTTATTTGAAATCACTTGGGGAGGGGGGCTGAAATTTGCAGCTTCTCCCTCTTTCTCTTTTCATAAGCACTCTAGGTAATGGGATGGGGGCGGGGGGGTGCATGCATGTGCATGAGATCTCTGCTTCCTTCATTAAGCCTAATAGTTTTAATTGATTTCTATATCTTTAAAAAGTTCAGAAAAGACAACTGAGTATAAAGAAAATATAAAGCTCATCTTAATTCTTTCTTAACATGGTGGGATATCCTTACCAATTCTCATTAATGAGCTTTTTTTAGATTTATAAAATAGTTGCAAAAGGAGTACCCTTCACCCAGCTTTCCCAAATGTTAACATTGTACATAACCACAGTAGAATGATCAAAATCAGGGAAAACATTGACATATTAGTATTAAGTAATCCGCAGACCTTTTTTCAGATTCCGGCAGTTTTCCTACTAATTGTCCTTTTTCTGGACCGGCGTCGAGTTTAGGACAACACGTTGCATTAAGTGTGACGTTTTAGTCTGCTTTAATCTGGAGCAGTGTCTCAGTCTCTGCCTCCCATACCCGTAGCACTTTTGAAAAGGACTGGCCAGTTATTTTGCAGATGTCCCTTAATTTGGGTTTGCTGATGTTTCTTCATGATTCAATGCAGGTGATGCCTTTTTGGCAAGAAAACCATGGAAGTGATGCTGTGCCCTTTGTTGTGTGTCTGTCAGGTGGCACATGAAGTCAATAGCCTCAATACTGTTCACTTTGATCTCGTGGTTGTTGTGGCATCTCCATGTAAAAGTACTATTTTTCCTTTTGTCGTTAGTAAGTCTCTCGGAGGAGTGGGCATCTCTTTATATTGAAAGCATTACTGATGTTCCCTTTTTTCCCCCATCGATCCCCTCCACGCCGCATACCCCCCACCCCTAGTCCTCACACTGTTGTC